AGGCTTCCCTCCGAGCAGGGAGCCCGATGTGGGGCTCGATCCCAGGACCCTGGGATCATGACCTGAGCTGAAGGCAGACGCTTAATGACTGAGCCACCAAGGTGCCCCGCATGTTAACTTTTATTAATAATTTCATTTGAAGTATTCAAAAGAATTGTACCCAAAGAATTTCCATGCACTTAACTAGAATCTATAACCACTGTCTTTTTATATTTTCCCAATAATTTCTTTTTATTTACAAAAATGATTTGTAGTATGTAACAGTATACCCCAGGTAGAAGTTATTAAGGAATCATAGGGGTGCATGGGTGGCTCAGTTTTCAAGCGTCTGCCTTTGGCTCAGGTCAGGATCCCAGGGTCCTGGCATCGAGCCCCACATCAGGTTCCCTGCTCTGCAGGAAGCCTGCTTCTCCCTCTCCCTCTCCCCCTGCTTGTGTTCCCTCTCTCGTTGTTTCTCTGTCAAATAAATAAAATCTTTAAAAATAAATAAATAAATAAATAAACAAGGAATTATATATAATAAACTTTATTTCTCACTTAAATGAGCCAACTAGAATAGTTAAATCAACAAAAGAATTTAATTTGGTAACTCAGTAAAATAATTTAGGAAAAAACCCTTTACTTTCCTGGAAGTATGTATCCATCATGTGTGTGGAGGGGAAGAAAGGGTCTGAAATGGGAAATAAGTTATTTATTCCTCATGGATCTTCACTCCCTCCCTCCCTGGGTTATAGCACTCAGGCTTGCGACCATTTACATGGTGATGATACTACTTATATACTAATGATACCATCACTTAGATAACTAATAAACTTACTGAACTTCACATATCCAAAACAAAATTCCTTTCCAAACCTACTCTGAACTACAGTAAATGTAAAGGACATAAATATTCACCCAGTTGTTCACACAAAAAAACAAGATCCATCCTTTATTTCTCCTCTTCCTTCCTTCAATCTATCAATAAATCTTGTTGGTACTATCTCCATCATTTATCCATTATTTTCCTATCTCCACTGCCAGGTCACTGCCCCCTGCAAGTCTTCTGATTTTCCTGCTTCTGTTCTTGTCTCCTTAGAATCCCTTTATCCCGCAGGAGTCAGTGTGACTTAGATCATGCCATTTCCCTGCTTAAAATCCTCCTTAGAGGGCACCAAGTGGCTCAGTCGGTTGGGCGTCTGCCTTCGGCTCAGGTCATGATCCCAGGGTCCTGGGATTGAGCCCTGCATCGGGCTCCCTGCTCAGCAGGGAGCCTGCTTCTCCCTCTCCCTCTGCCAGCCTCTCCTGCCCTTTCTGTCAAATAAGTAAATAAATAAAATCTTAAAAAAAAAAAATTCTCTTTAGAAAAGAAACCAAACTCCCTACCAGGACCTACAAGGCCTTTCATCATGGTCTGACTCCTGCCTACCTCTCCACACCTCACCTCACTCTTTGCCTTTCTCACTATCTCCAGGCCACTGTGCTTCCCCAAATACATCAACTTGGTTCCTCATTCGGGAGCTTTACATTTGCTGTTCACTCTGCCCAGGATCCCTGGTTCCTCCACCTCACCTAAGCTATTTACATGCCTGACTTCTTTGCTTTCAAAGATCGACTTCTTTGCTTTCAAAGATCACCTTCTTAGAGAGGCCTTCTCCAAGGTAGCTGCCATCACCTTTCTTATATTTTTTGTATACATCTATCATAACCTATAAATAATCTTATTTATAACCCCCCCCACACACAATATAACCTCTCTTAAGGGGAGACTTATCTATCTTGTTTATTATTCTCTCCAATACTTAGAACATAACAGTTAATAGATATTCAAAATGTTTGCTGAATGAACGAACAATTTCCTAAACATCGTTGAAGCAATACAGATATTAACTATACTGAGTTTGATTATTAGCTTATTATAGTTTAAATTATATTAGTTAATTAGAAATTATTAGTTTATTATAAATAACTGGAGTTTTAACTTTCCACCAATAAAAAGATATTAAGATTACATGAGCATAAAGGAGGAATACAATACCACTGTGCTACATTTTATTCATTTAAGACAGGAACAGAGAAAAACACCCACAGACTGCAATCACTGCCTATGGGGCACCCAGGACCTTCTTCCCTCAGGAGAGGTCCCAAAAGGAAAATCAGATCTATTTGGAAGAGATGCCATGTAGAAGACACCATCAGATTCTGTCCAAAGGAGCAAAGAGAAAGTGAACAAACATCTTTCAGGACTAAAACTCCAGACAAGACCAAAAAGGGGTTTTTCACAGCTTCTTCTATAAGCTCTTTGAAAAGAAGTCCAGTGGATCAGAATACAGGGGAAAAAAACTCATGAGAATCCCTCAATGGATCCTTCACCCACCATACAAAATTTCTTCAGAAACTGACTTACTCTCACAAATGATCTTGACAAAGGAACAGCTGTGTAAGACATAATTAAAGCTGTACTGTCAAGGGGTAAGATGAGGATAAAAAGCCTCATATACTTTGATGTATAAATCAGTTATAATTTATAGAAGTTATAGATTTATATACTTATAATTTATGTTATAAACACATCAATATATTGATGTATCCATCCCTGAAGAAAACGAATACAAATACTTACATATGATACTAAATCAACATACAAGACATTGAAGAGATAAAGATCAGTCTATGGTTGAGAGCTAGCTTATTGAACCTCAACACTGGGAGAAGGGAAATAAAGACGTTTCACAGCATTACAGAAAAACAATGCATTTGGAAGAAAATAAACATTTGTAAAAACAACAACAACAACAACAACAACAACAAGAAAATCACACGTAGTAATCTTTGTGACCTGATTGTGGGGGTGGGGGGGGTGGGATTCATTACAGTAAAGTTATATTAAAAAAATAAAAAGAATAAAAATCACTAGAAGAAAAAGTCACTGGATCATATGCAAAAAGGGAAAGCTGAATCAATGTTTATAGAAACAAATTTAATCTGGCACTTCTTCTTCTTTTTTTTTTTTTTAAAGATTTTATTTATTTATTTGACAGAGAGAGACACAGCGAGAAAGGGAACACAAGCAGGGGGAGTGGGAGAGGGAGAAGCAGGCTTCCCGTGGAGCAGGGAGCCCGATGCGGGGCTCGATCCCAGGACTCCGGGATCATGACCTGAGCCGAAGGCAGATGCCCAACGACTGAGCCACCCAGGCACCCCTAATCTGGCACTTCTATATGTGATCTTTAGAGGTCTCTCTTATGAAGAGAGTGTAAAGAGACTCTTGTTTTTTATACTGTTTGTAGTACATAAGTGCCACCAATCATAACTAATGAATAGTGCCATTTTAAGGCCTTAAACATTGCTAAATACATCTGTATGAACTTGTACTGCTGCCCTTTCTGAAGATAAATACAAAAAAAGACCAGTAGGCCCTGGAAAGAGGAAGTTCCATTACAGAGAAAAGAACACATCGCTCTTCATCTCTATATGATACAGCAGTTCCTCAGACCGATTTTATCTATTCTAAACAGTTAAGAACCAAGAGGCAAGCAACAAATGCCACAAAGGAACTAAAGTACAGCTGATGCATATGCAAAAAACCACATTTTAATTTAATTAATTAATTTATTTTTTTAAGATTTTATTTATTTATTCATGAGAGACAGAGAGAGAGACAGAGGCAGAGGGAGAAGCAGGCTCCCAAGGAGCAGAGAGCCCGATGCGGGACTCGATCCCACTGGGATCATGACCTGAGCCGAAGGCAGACGCTTAACCGACTGAGCCACCCAGGCGTCCCAACACATTTTTTAATATATAGCCTCAAGGTCCTCACTCAGAGTCTTTTCATTTTTCTTTTAGGCTGAATTCTAACACATTTGGCCATCTAGTCTCTCAGTGCACAGCAAATCAGAGGTAGCAAACTAGAAAATAGAAAAGACAGAAAACTATTTGTTAATACTGAGAGCAGATGACCTAACAAAAGAAAGGAGATTAAAACACCATTGGAAAAAGGAGTTCCAAAATCTTAGAATCAAAAATAAAATTCAAAAAGCATAGCTGGCAAAGTTTTGTTTAAAACAATAACAACTTTGGGATGCCTGGGTGGCTCAGTCGGTTAAGTGTCTGAAGAAGTATCTAAAAAAGATAGCATAAAAAGAACAGGTATTTAAACAATTTTATTTCACGAATAATTTATTGTAACCTGTCTAATTCCACAGCAGAAACAGGTCATGATCTCGGGGTTGTGAGATCGAGCCCCATAAGAGGTTCTACTCTCAGTGGAAAGTCTGCTTCTCTCCCTCTCCCTCTGCCCCTCCCTACAATGTGTGCACACATGCTCTCTCTCTTTCTCTCAAATAAATAAATCTTTAAAAAAATAGTAACAACTTTACAAAAATCTTGCCTCGAAGACGATGAGTTTTATTTTAACACAGCGCGACATTAATGTGGTACCTCATATAGTGGCTTACACGGCACACTGAACTTTAAGTTTGAATAATGACCCTACAATGATCATTTTTAACCCTGGAGCTTCTGACTTGGTAGACATTCATCCTGCATTTAACACTCCACGGATGATTCTGACGCACACTGAGAAGCACCGTCCTAATAGTCTGAGGAAAGGTTATACTGTATTCGACATATTAGTTAAGGAAGAAGTGAGAACTTACTATAATCTTTAAATGTGTTCAATAAAACTTGTTTTTAAAAGGTTTGGGCATGTTGAGGTAATGTGGTATATTCACTCTGGTAGAACACTTATCTCCCAAAAGGAGGGAGAGGGCTAAATGACACACTACCAATAGCCAATCTACTCACAGGATAATTTCTTTTGAAACCATGCAAATATAATGAATATATGTAATGATAAGTGAAGTAGAACACTCAGTAAGGCACGAAATAAAGGCAGAAACTCACTGAAGTTAAAGTTATGTGAAGAAAAACAGCTCTAATTAAACTAGACTAGTCTGGACACCAAACTCCTCTCTACACAGTAGGATCTCCCAAACAAAATACTTAACACTTATACTCACCTTTCTGAAAAATCAGAATCTATAAATTCTCTAGCTCGTTTTCTATCACTAAAAAGAAAAAAAAAGATAGCATAAAAAGAACAGGTATTTAAACACAATTTAATTTCACCAATAATTTATTGTAACCTAATTCCCCAGAAAATATATCCAAACACAAAATCTAACAAATAGAAAAGACACGTTTTATCATAGGATCAAGAAACCACAACACAATAAATTTTACCACAGGATCAAAAAGATCACAATATAACAACACAGTTTGAAATGAGCTCAATGAAAACGGGAGGAAAATATTGCACACTCAGAAAGGAGAAGGCTCAGAAAGCATTAGTCACTACGGAATGACTGCGCAATCATTCCACCCCCAATATAAAGCAAGCTGGGGCCAAAAATATCCCAACCCTGGTCATGTCCAAAGCGGGCCAACACAATGGCATGGGTTTAGCTTTCATGTTATAATCTCTCAAGGTTACGTAGAAATCCAAGGTAACTTTCAGATCCTACGTGGGATAAGGGCTGAATAAAGGTCATGGAATTACAGGTGATTGTGTCATTTCAGCTCCTTTGATAATGAAAAAATATGTATACATATGAAACTCTTCTGTCTCTAATGTGTGTATGTGTGTGTATACATGAACATGTATATGGCTGGAAAGACTTTGCCAGGATTATTTCATTAATTCATTTAACATCCTGGAAACAAGAAAGCTCTTTCACAACCAAGGTTTACTGTCTGCTTGCTAGAACTCACGATTATAAGTCAAGGAACTACCCGTATAGTACGCCACCACAGAAATGACTTCTCAAGTGAACAAATGAGGTTTTGAATCCTTTATCTTACAATTTCTTTTTCTCTTATGGGAAGATGAAATGCTAAAATGAAAAGGAGCAGAGAAAGACTGGGTAAGGGTATTTTACAGGCAGAGATGAAACATGCAAAAGTTTGATACTAAAAGTGGTAAATGAGTAGCACAAGGGATATTGATTAACTGTCCAGTGTTTCAAAAGGATCAAGAGAAAAACTCAGTAAAATTTTTAATATTTCTTGGCCTCTTTTTCCTAGTTCCTTTTCTGATGTTTAAGGAAACAAAAATTCACAGGGGAAATTCTGAGTATAGCCAACATTTAATATGTAACTCTTTTCTTAAGTTTGTTAAAACAATATAAAATACAGAATTTGCATCTCCAAAGCAGTTAAATGTCATAATCAGAAAAAGCAGTCTTTTTTCAGAGTTGAAAAGTCAGAAGATTCAGGTACAAATTACTGTATTGTTTTTCTCTATTTAAAAACAGTTGCTCCATAAATGATTTAGATCTAAAATATAAGGTGAAATAAAATAGATGGTTTTAAAGGCAACACATTAGTTTTGAAGGACTCGGCTAACATAAAACAAGAATGGAAGACAAAATAGTGAGAGGAAAAGATCACAGCTTAAGAAAAAGTTTTAAAAATGGTAACTTGCAACAACATTCTTACCCTGGGACCCAGCCAGTAGCTTCTGCTATGTGTGTCTGAGTAACCATTGCTGGTGCAGGGGTATATGGACTCCCAATCAGAACACTTCCTGAACTGGTTAGTCTCTGTGGTGTGCTTATAATCTATAAAGTTAGGACACAGAAAATCACATTCTTAGTTACTAAGAAACGCATACAGGCAGAAAATAATGTTCACTGCTAAGCTGCATTTAAAGAGGAAATCTTACTGCCTAAAATGCACTTAATATCAATCATCTAAAACATAAGCTTTCATTCACTTATATTCTAGGATCTTAAAGCACAAGTTATTGAATACTGACATGAGGTCACAATACAGGTTTCAGCAAGTGAACAGCAATTTGGAAGGATTAAGTTGGCAACTAACAGTGTTTTAAAAATCAGAAAAACAAAAAGCTTTCTTTGAAATATAGAACCTAACTGCAGTTGAACTTAATGTATTCAAACTAGGGCAAGAGTAAATCAGGTCTTCATTTCCAAAATATACACAAAGGCATTATACAATTTGGATTATTGTAACAGATGCCATTTCATCTTCTTTTTTCAAGAGCATTTCCTCATGTCATTTTAAAGACATTTTAAAGACAGTGAAACATTTCATCATGTGGATTTATTATCCCCTATTAGATACATATGGATATTCAATAATCCAACATTATAAGCAATGCTGTGATGAACATTTTTGTATAATGATCTTGGCCTTAGTATCTATTTCCTAAGGACAGACTCTAGAAAGGTAATTAATGCAACTAAGGATACAGACTTTAAAAAAAAGTTTCTTGATAGGTGCTACCAAATTGCTGCCCAGGACTTCAATGGTAAATAGACCATGTTTTTTCCAAAAATGTTTATAATAATTAGTAAAAAAACAATTTAGCATTCTACTAATATCTTTATAAGTATTTTTGTCAAAAAAATAAGAGCATGTTCCAGTGAGTGGGGGTATTAATGCAACAACATTGGCCCCACATTAGTAACTACTGAAGACCGAACTGCTGGGCACACAGGGATTCTCTCTTTTTTTTCTTTCCAACTCCGAGGCACAGGACCGCCCTCACCTGGGCAACCCCAGATCTTCGGATCTCCTAAAGTGAAGAGATTATTTTCGTATACTTTTGAAAATTTCTGTAACAGCTTAAGGTTTTGTTTAAGTACCAATTAAGAGAGAAAAGCATCTATGTGGGCTACATACAATTTTTAAACGACAGATCTTTTTTTTTTTTTTTAAAGATTTTATTTATTTATTTGACAGAGACACAGCGAGAGAGGGAACACAAGCAGGGGGAGTGGGAGAGGGAGAAGCAGGCTTCCCGCTGAGCAGGGAGCCTGATGCGGCGCTCGATCCCAAGACCCTGGGATCATGACCTGAGCCGAAGGCAGCCGCTTAACCGACTGAGCCACCCAGGCGTCCCTAAATGGCAGATCTTAAAAGAAATAGTTATTTCTACTGCCTGATATAGGTCAAAATACTAATTAATTTTTGTATCCCTGATCAAATGAAACCTGTTTCTGCAGGCAGGGTCTAATTCCAGTCATTAAGTTAGCTGCTAATTTGTTCCATAAAGAACAATGACAAGGATTCACCTGCATTTCAAGCTTAGTTCAGCCTTTGTTATTAAAGCCTCGTCAACATTTATTCATTTACTAAATATTTAGGAATGTTAGTTACCTCTGTTTGTGTATGGCATTTTGCCAGTTTGGAGCTAGGGAGATGTTATTATATACAAATGCCTAGCAAATAATTTTAATAATTTAATTCTGCAGTTAAAAAAATAAAAACAGAAGACAATAAACACTGATAGATGTCTGGAGGATTCTGATTCTCTACAATATTCCAGGGACTATTTTTTTTTTAAGATTTTATTTATTTATTTGACAGCGAGAGCAGGAACACAAGTCCGGGGAGTGGGAGAGGGAGAAGCAGGCTTCCCGCCCAGCAGGGAGCCCGATGCAGGGCTCAATCCCAGCACCCTGGGATCATGACCTGAGCTGAAGGCAGTCACTTAACCAACTGAGCCACCCAGGAGCCCCTCCAGGGACTATTAAATGAGGAATTCAGAAGCTTACCTCATGAGAAAATATGATTACTGGACAAGGGGTGTGTATCTCTTACCCTTCTACACCACCCCCCCCCGCCGCACCTCCATTTCAGCATAAAATCTTTAAGGGTAGATCAAATGTTTGCAGAGCCTAGCACAGTGCTAGGAGATATTCACAGGAAAGGTACAATAAATATTTGATGAACTGAGACAGAAGACCCAGCTCTTAAAATGAAAAAAGTAGCTTCTCTATTAATATGCCAAAAAGGACTACATAAAATCCAGTAAGAAAATACAATATAAAGGACATAATTCTCACCCAATCACTACATCACACATTCATATGTCCTATATCATGCTGACCTTGAGTGTGAAGCTTAAGAAGGAAAATTTGAGTATTTAATCAGTCTCTGGTCTACTCTATTTCTAGAACAGGAGTCTCCACAAAGCAATTCTAATCATCCAGACTTACCCTTGAGATAGCCTGCATTATTTGTGCAGTATTATTACTAAGTTCTTTTTCTGTATCTGTTATTAGTAGCCTACAGGCTCAGTTTACCTGATTTAAAGGTCTTTGTCGAAAAAAAAAAAAAAAGATGAAGAGAAGAGGAAAGGAAACAGGACATAGGAAAAACCCAGTTATCATTACTGAGAAAGGCTTTGGAAATCAAGTGCTATGTTCTGGTTTATTTTTTTCTTCCTCAATGTCAGACCGTCAGCTGATATTCTTTGCTGATCTGACAGTGATTAGCAATATTCTGTTCTTTTCTCTTAGCCTAGTGCCTGGTATGCCCTTAATAGCAGAAATCCTCAATAAACATTTCCTGATGAACAAATTGGAGGGATGATATACTTGAACTAAAAAAAAAGTTAGAAGTTCATGTGAGATGCTATGAGTTCCTAAATTAGGACAATGACAGTGAACCTTAAGAAAAAAGATCAAAGGGCGCCTGGGTGGCTCAGTTGGTTAAGCGACTGCCTTCAGCTCAGGTCATGATCCCAGGGTCCTGGGATCGAGTCCCGCATCGGGCTCCCTGCTCTGCAGGGAGCCTGCTTCTCCCTCTCCCACTCCCCCTGCTTGTGTTCCCTCTCTCGCTGTGTCTCTCTCTGTCAAATAAATAAATAAAATCTTTAAAAAAAAAAAAAAAGATCAAAAAGCCAACAGGACTTGATCAACCACTGAACACAGGAAAATTATATAGGTGATGAGTCAGATATGTTTTATAAAACTGAACCTTAGTTTTGAAATCCCAAATTGAAATTAGAGGTAATTACTTCCTATATTCAGTTGATCTGATAAGGAAAATGAACATTTATTTTAAATTCCAGCATCTACCTCGCCCCACCCCAAAGAAATCCTTAATTTAAATGTAATCATGCAGTTTTTTGACAATGGATTACAGTTGGGCTATGAAAATCATATAGCAATTGAACTTCATTCTGAAGATTTTCTGCCTTCAATCAATATATCTTACATACTACTGCCATCTACAGTACGAATAGCCAAGGAGACTGTTACAGCCTTGTATGGTAGCTACACTGGGGGTGAATAGCATCGAGCTGTCCAATCACTACGTTGTATGCCTGAAACTAATGTAACATTTTGTGTCAATGATACTTCAATTAGAAAGGAAAAGAAAAGAAAATAGAAAAGAAAAGCCAAGATAACATCTGTATTCTGAAGGGAAAAAGAATCTATACAATTGGGGGTGCCTGGGTGGCTCAGTCATTAAGTGTCTGTGTTTGGCTCAGGTCATGATCCCAGGGTCCTGGGATTGAGCCCCGCATCGGGCTCCCTGCTCGGTGGGAAGCCTGCTTCTCCCTGTCCAGCTCTCCCTGCTTGTGTTCCCTCTCTCACTGTGTCTACTCTGTCAAATAGATAAATAAAATCTTAAAAAAGAAATCTATAAAAAGTATTACCTTAAAGGATTTTATTATTTCACAAAATTTTAGTTTTCACTATAAGAAACATGTACTTCTTAACCATGTTAAAATAAAGACGGTTATGAGATTGTATGACAAGATACCTTTAAGTAAAGGGCAAGTATTCAAACTAAAACAGTTATTGTTAAATTAGTTTCTATAAACACAGAAAACAACCTTCTTCTTGGGACTTTTTGAAATTTCTACCTACCATTAAGACTTGGCTAGAGACATGTGAAATTTAAAGGGCAAGTAGAGAAAGACAACAGAAAGAAGCAGGTTTTTAAAAAAAAAAAGAGGTTATATTCAAGAGTTTTCCAACTTAAAAAAAATGTTTTTAAATCACAGATGAGAGACTGAAAGTGAGGGGACAATATTCGAAAGAGATAAACAAGAGAAGAGAGAAATGGCTCTAACTGGGATTCTACAACAATTAGAAAGTCAAAAAGAAAGCTCTCATTTCTGTCCAAGAACTGAGAACTATAAAAAACACCTCAGTATTAAGAACACAAATTAAGGCCTGGTTTAAAGAAGAGTCCCAAATCTCCTTTCCTTCTTCTGACCTTTGTTTTGCTGATTCTGAGGTTTGTAGTAATGAGGTAAGTAGTATACAAGACTACCTATCATTGTCAGAACTGAGGTATAATAGTAATTACATGTACAGTAGCTCAAATGGACAATAGAAAGAAAAACTGTTCCCAAAAGAAGAATTCAAATTTGAGCCATAGCAGTATCACTAAGATATTGACAGGAAACAGTCTCTCGAAACAGAGTACTGTGCAGGAGAAATTCTAAGAGTTCGGGGATGTTTATTTAATTTTGGTGTTTATATAATCACATTTCAAAATACAGACTTTAAAGTCAGGTGCCTTATCTCATTTACACCTACTGCAGTGGCTGGTGAGAAGCAAAAGCTTAGTAAATGTTTGAAATATAACCTGAACTACCTTGAAATGGGGACACTTAGCTGAGCTTAAGTCTCCATGAGGCTTGGAGCTAGACTACACATTCTTTACATAGTTACAGAAAATTGTGCAAGATTTTTAGCTTGAATTCTGTAGATAATTAACAGTCCTCAAGTGATCAAGAAAAATGTCATGTCTTGAATGTCTTAAAATCTTTAAGATTTGCTGAAGCCACTAAAAACACTAAGATATATTTTTCGCCTAAATAATTTTGCATTTAACAGAGTTCACAGTACTGAGTATTATGGGCAAAATTTATCCTTCCTGCTCTATAGATGAGAACGTTCAAGCACTGACAATGAAGAGTTACGGTTCAAGTGTTTACATACTTTTGCTAATGGTGGCTGAGACCATTAAATTAAGTATAGTTTTTAGGGTAATTGCATGCGACTTTGTTTATAAATAAGGCTTTTCTAAAAGTGCTATATACTTCAAGCTCTCGCATAATTAATGGCATATCTTCAGAGAAACAGTTAAATATTTTCCATTTTTCATTCATTATTTCTATTGCTAAAGCTTGATAGCTCTGGATATAGATTAATTGTTGGATCATATTCAATTTATATGAGCGTACATAGCTTAGGGCAGTAAAGGTTATTTTATAAGAAAAAAAGAGGAGAATATAAAACAACAGATTTCAAATCAATTTAATCAAATTAAAAACAAGAGAAGCCTACCACAGGGAGCAAGCAAAAACCTTGATATTACATAGCCAGAATCCAGATTCAAATACATGAAAATTAAACACCAAAGAGCACAACGTCTTTCTTTTCCTCAAGACTTAACCAGTTACATTCTGATGAAAACAAAACTTCTTAAAAAAGTGAATGAGTTAAGAAGTGAACTGCAATTTTTGTCCAGCATCTTTAGTACAATTATCCTCTAAATTAGTCTTGCCTAAGCAAAATGTCAAATTCTAAGATTTGATGGTTTTCTTACCATTTGGGGTCCAACATTCACATTTATTGGTCCTAAGGTTTTTGGTAAAATCTTTGTTGGTGAGTTGGTGCTGGAAACTGGAAATGCAACAAATGAAATGTTACCTGAAATGATATCAAAATATTAGGTTAATGTTCTGTAATATCAAGGTCACCTTCTATCTATACATTCATGGTCCTAACCCCAGTTTTGCTTAAGTAACTTAAAATGATCTTAATAATTAAGTTAAAACAAGAAGCCTTACTGAAAAGCCATTCTAATGATTGCTTTCTTGTAGTGAATACATTAGTTCTGCTAAATAGGAAAACTGTAAAATAAATAGTTCAGTCTATCTGACAACTAACTACTGGACTTTTAGTGGGTTTTCAGAGGAAAAATATTTAGAGAATACATACTGCAAATCAGAGTTTATATCAGAGTAGAGAAATCTAGTTAGGTCTTTATTAGACACCACAGAACAAAAAAAAGTATGAAGTAGACATGAAGTAAAGTATCTATTAGAATTTATTTATAGTATAAAAGAAAATATTTATACTAAAAGTTAACATGTTTTCATATGAGTTGGTAGTTTTTTGAGGTTTTATCATACCGGAGAAAAAAATATGATGCCACCTAGTGATACTGAGAACTGTGGGATGTATACAGTGTTTTCAAGTGATATCAACACTTTATTTTTATTTTTTTTTAAGATTTTATTTATTTATTTGACAGAGAGAGACACAGCGAGAGAGGGAACACAAGCAGGGGCAGTGGGAGAGGGAGAACCAGGCTTCCCGCTGAGCAGGGAGCCCGATGCGGGGCTCGATCCCAGGACCCTGAGATCATGACCTGAGCCGAAGGCAGACGCTTAATGACTGAGCCACCCAGGTGCCCCAGTATCAACACTTTAAATGTGAAATTAAGGTAGCCAAGTGGACCCCAGAAATGAAAAGCTAACCAATAACTTTCTGAACTGTGTCAACTACTTAACTCCTCTGGACAAACTTCAGTTTATCAATGTTTTTCTTAATAATCTAATGTAACAGAGGAGATCACCCAGAAAGTACGTGAAAGAGGTTCAATACTGAAACTCTGGGGGAAAAAAAACGGCATTTAAGAGCAGGACGAGACACCTCCTTCTCAGATGGCCCCCTTGGCTCTCCCAGCACTTGCCCAGACTCCTTAACCCCATCCTCTCACCTCCTGATTCTCAGCAGATACTCCTATTTCCTTCAGTAAGGAAATCAGGCCATCAGGCTATATTAGAGCTATTAGAGCTTCTCTTCCTTGACCTGTGAACCTATCTGCACCCTCACCTATTTTTACTGCTTTCTCTCTGAATGTAAATTCTCATATAAATGATTTCTTTTTTGTCTCTGCACATGGTGTCTACTCAGGGGTCTCACTTATCAATTATCTACTGTCTCCTGAGTTTTCGACTGCACCGTCAGCTCCTCCCCTTCAGTTTCTCTCTCTGCCCATTTGCCCTGTATCATTTTCCCTCAATACCCATATTTTAAAATCAAATCCTTCATCTTTCTCATGCCCACTCAACAAGGTCTAATAGCCAAATCTGTTTCTCCTTCATGCTCTTGGCATATGACCGAGTCTTGGTAGATGATCATTACCATCCCAGTGGCCCAGTCCAGAAACAATCAACCCCCTCCTTACTCAACTGACCACTGTATCCTACCTGCTATCTCCTTACTCTGGCTCCTTTATGCTGCTGCCACTTGTTTAATTTGAAACTTTATCAAATCTGATTTGAACACAGTTACCCTCGAACGCAGTGATTCAACACCGTAGCTGTGCAACAGAATTATCTGGGACTCCATAAAAAATACCAATGCCTCAGTCCCACCCCCCGAGCTGCTGATAAAACTGGTCGGGAGTGAACCGGGGCATCAGACTGTTGAAAGTTCTCCAGGTGGTTCCAGTGTGCAACCACTCTAACTGGAAATGCTACTTCAAATAGCTTTGCTAGCCCTCCACACATCTGTAACAAACCAGTTTTTCAACTGGGGAAACTGTTCTGGACACTCCCCTACTTTAGGCCTTCAAAGATTCCCCAACACTTTCAATGCCTCTCAGATTCCTCAACATGGCACAACAGCTTCTATCTGGAGATCTCACCCCTGCCTCCCTTCCCAGCTTCATCTTCAGCTACTCCCTCCACTCCAGTCAGGTTAAATACTTTGCAATTCCAGAAAGGCCCCAGCTCAACCACTCCAGTTTTGACACACACCTTTCCTTCTGTTGGAAGTCTCTCTCTGCTGGGGCTACTTCTACACCCTAGCACTTCAAAATGGCATTCCAAACCATTTTCTAAGTCATTACTGTGTGCCAGAGTCTGTTCCAGAGGCTTCCCATATATACACCATCTCATTGAGCTTAGGACAACAGTGTGAAATGTATTATTACTGTCTCCATTTTACACATTTAGAAACTGAGACAGAATGAGGTTAAAGAATTTGTACAAGGTCCCAGAGCTAGTGAGGGCAATAGCTCCATCTCCCAAGTTTCTGCTCTGTGTGTCACCTCTCCTTATAAGCTGTTCTCAGCCTCCGTGGTCGAGTTCCTGGATGCCTTTCTTTTGACTTTTCATAAAACCTATGATCATTTGCTTGTTCTAGCTATCATTTACTTAGTTCTAAGTGGGCTATGTCTCTCAGCTTTGTATCCTAGCACCTGGTTTAGTCCCTGGCACAAAAGAGGTGCACAAAACTATAAAAACTAATTAGTATAGATTGGAGCTATTACCTTTTCTTTTTTTTTTTTTAATTTTTATTTGCGAGAGAGAGAATGAGAGAGAGCACGAGAGGGAGGAGGGTCAGAGGGAGAAGCAGACTCCCCGCTGAGCAGGGAGCCCGACGCGGACTTGATCCCGGGACTCCAGGATCATGACCCAAGCCGAAGGCAGTCGCTTAACCAACTGAGCCACCCAGGCACCCGGAGCTATTACCTTTTCTAATTTGGATGCCATATTTCCTGCAATGTAGCCTACACTGTATTTTTTGCTGTTGTTACCTTCTAACTGGTGCCATAACTTATAAAGTCTGAAATAAATTTAAATGCTAGGTCCTTTATTATTTTGAACAACCAATATGTCAAATAAAGTTTCCTTCCTCTATAACCATGAAACTGATTTTTGCTTTTATATAACATGCATATTTTACCAATTGCTAAATATTAAGGTTATTATCAAGCTTCCCAAATATGGTTATTCACCTATTTAAGAATCCACTCTAACTGGAGAATAATTATCTATGATTCTAGGGGGAAGAACAGCTATGTAATTGATAGACAGGTGCCATAAACTCAGTCCCAGGCAGGACAGGCATGTGAGAAGAGCACAGCCCTGCAAAAGTCTGATTCTCAGATTTTTTTTTTTAATTGAAGTACAGCTGACATACAATATTATATTAGTTTCAGGTGCACAACATAGGGATCTGACAATTACATATATTACAAAATGCTTACCATGGTAAGTGCAGTTACCATCTGTCACCATACATTATTACAGTATTATTGACTTAATATTCTCCATGCTGTATGTTACAACCACGTGACTGACTTATTTTATAACTGGAAGTTTATACTTCTTTTTTTTTAAAAGATTTTATTTATTTATTTGAGACAGAGAGAATGAGAGACAGAGAGCATGAGAGGGAGGAGGGTCAGAGGGAGAAGCCCGACTCCCTGCCGAGCAGGGAGCCCGATGCGGGACTCGATCCCGGGACTCCAGGATCATGACCTGAGCCGAAGGCAGTCGCTTAACCAACTGAGCCACCCAGGCGCCCTGGAAGTTTATACTTCTTAATCCCCTTCACCTATCTATCCCCTGACCTCCTCCCCTCTGGCAACCACCAGTTTGTTCTCTGTATTTATGAGTCTGTTTCTGCTTTTGTTTGTTCATTTATTTTTTAAGAGTCCACATGTTAAGTTAAAACATTTGGTATTTGTCTCCTCAGATGGTTTTTAAAAATGACCTTAGCGCTGCTGAATGTTTAAGATGAGATCATTTCTGATACACTGTTAGAAGCAAAAGTAAAAAACTTGCAAAAAGCAGTGGAACAAGAAATACAAAAAAAAGACAATTAAGGTTAGGGAACAGACTGACTCCGATTTTAAACCTAACACTAAAGGAAAATTAAGAATATAAAACTTAGGTCAAAACAAAATGAAAAATATCATTAAAGCCAGATCTGTCATGTCAGTTAATACCATAAGAATTTAGAGGGAACTTAATAAATTTGACCAATTGATTCTAAAGTGCATCTGGAAGAGTGAAGGCAGAGAACAGCCAAGAAAATTAAAAAAAAAAAAAGAAAAAAAAGAATAACAGGAAAGAGGGGAACTTTAGCCTACCAGATTTCAAAATTATTACACAGCTGAAGTGACTGAAATAATGTGATATTGCTAAGAAGCAGATAAAAAAAGTGACAAAACAGAAATTAAAGTCCAGAAATTACTTCATGTATATATGAAAATGTTATATATGGTAAAGGCAGCATTTCAAATCAATGTGGGAAAGGGCAGATTACTTAAAAAATGTTTGTTTGTTTGTTTTAAACATCTTATTTATTTGACAGAGACAGAGATAGTGAGAACAGGAACACAAGCAGGGGGAGTGGGAGAGGGAGAAGCAGGCTTCCCACCGAGCAGGGAGCCCGATGTGGGGCTCATCCCAGGACCCTGGGATCATGACCTGAGCCCAAGGCAGACGCTTAACAACTGAGCCACCCAGGTGCCCTTAAAAAATGTTCTTGATTGTACATCTGAAAACTAATACAACACTACGTCAGCTACACTTCAATAAAAAAAAAGAGACACACACGAAAGAAATGTTTCTGAGATAAGAAATTGTCCACTTGGGTAAAAGATTTCAATTTCTCATCTTGTACAAAAATCAATTCCCAAAAGATCAAATATTTAAAAATAAAAGTTAAAGCCATAATGCCTGGATGGTTCAGTTGGTTTTTTATAATCTGGGGATGAAGAAGGCCCTTCCAAGCATGTTACAGAATTTAGAAATCTTTTTTTTTTTTTTAAGATTTTATTTATTTATTTGACAGAGAGAGAGACAGCGAGAGCAGGAACACAAGCAGGGCGAGTGGGAGAGGGA